TTTTACAATTATAATTGTTAATCTTTTCACCTGATTTAGTGTCTGCTTCTTTGCATTCATCATTAGTATGATTAATTTGCCTTAAATCAGTATGTTTAAAAGGCACGCTTGAATTAATTCTCATTGCTTCCTTGAAGAATAAGCTTTGACTTGGACATTCTTGAGAACTACCAACCATCTCTATTGATTCTTGGAAATTATCAGAATCATCATCAGTATCTTTAATTATGTTTTCATTATCTGCAACTGTGTCTAAAAAGAAACAAATTATACTAATATAATATGCTGGATATAATATAAAAACTAAAATATGTTTCTTAAAAAATTTTTATAGATCCAATGTTTCGAGACCGAATTTGACTCTTCCTCAGTGGACAAAACTCGAAAATTAAGATACAAACACACATAAAAACAATTAATGAAAAAATACTTCACAAAAATAATGTTAGTGAAAAGAATAATATATAAATCGAAAGCAACTTAATATTGAAAAAATAATTTCGACCAGAAAAGGTAGATTGTGATTCGTGGCGTGATGGTCGAAATTATTATTGAAGTAAAATTTCTTTAGTCGCGACTAGGGTGTAAATAAGTGTACATCCGAATGCAACTGTGTGAACGAATATTATAGAATTTATTAATCAGCAATTACTTCATTATCTAATGAAGGTTCATTTCTAAATGCTAATTACAATGACAAACGGATCATGTGATGTTTGAAGTATGACTTTAATCATTATTGTTTTTTAAATATTATACATATTTTTTAATGCTATTATAAATATAATTCATAATTTATCATTATATAAATGTGTATAATGATTGACACTAATAAATGTGTGCATCACAAGTGTTACCATATTACTAATAAACATTATTCAAAATTGTTTATGATGTATTTATTTTTACTTAAATGCATCTTGTACAGTAGCAAATAAGTTTTACTTTAATAATCACGTGTGAACCATACGCGCACTCCTTTTTTTCATTAAATATGACGATACATAAAGACGTCATACAAAGTTTTATCAAAATCGCCAAAAAAAATTCTCAACAAACTATTAAACTACAACAATATTTAAAAAAAAACTATCAACGCAATTTCCAACCAATATCTTATGAACTTATTTCTAATTTTTAAAATCGGTTCAATATTGTAGACCAAATATTTTACACTTTTCTGCTAGTTACGAGTTAGTTACTATCGAATGGCTTTTAAATTTTTGAAATCGGTCCAAGCGTATTTGAGAAAACGTCGACGAAAGGTCAATAATCGGTTCACAAACACATACTTTTCCCAAATTTGGTCTCAGTCAATTCAAAATGACTTAAAACGTCAAAAAAACATAATGGCAAATCGGATTATTTCGCGAATACTAACATTGAAAGTTACCAAAAAAAAACAGATTCAGTTGTCTTTCGAAGACTATCTAAATTTTCTTGTTTTATTGTCTTTGTCAACTTAGTTAATGATGTCTACAAAAAATACATGCACATTTTAGATAATTAAAAAATGTTTAGATACTTAAAATAATTAAATATAGTGCAGCGATCATAATCTTGTAATTATCTCAATCTAGCTCATATCACCAAAGCAACATTCCATTTCCATTATCAATGAAAATGAAAAACAATGAATAGTTTTTTTTTCATTAAAAATTATAAAGTTGTGAAATATTTACTTTTGCTTTTAAAGGTATTCTAGTCTAGAAGCTTTAAGAAATCGATTTTTTTTGTATATATATTCAAAGTTTTAATTTTTTACTACTGACCAATTTCTACTGTACCATTTACTACTTGATATTTTCATCACCTGCTAGAATTAAAACTTTTTGACTGTTTTTAATATTTAATCTCTTTCTAAATTCTTAGAACATTAATTAATACGTTATAAACAAAATAGATAGTAAATATGTTTGCCTTTCAAAAATCATATGAAATACATGCCTCTAGACTAGAATCTTTTTCCCCTTAATATAATTATAAACTTACCCTTTGCAGGCCTAGGCGTAGATGTTTGAATCTCATTTTTTTGTTTAGGTGTCATATTTTGCCACTCCATGCCATTGGTATCTGATTTCTGTTGTCTTGTTGATGTAGAATTATGCTCAGGACTGGGAGATGAATTCTCAACCTTAGGTGATAAATGCATTTCTTTTTTTGGAGTTTTTCCTCTTCCTTTGATGATAATTTTTTGCCATTCATCACTAATATGTTTTTTTCATTCGTTATCGACGTGTTTTCTTTTTTGAAGACATATTCTTATTTTTTAATGTTGATATATTGTCCTCCTCTATAACAAAAATCATTTACAGTTTTGTTTGAAACTATTTTAGTTTTCAAATTGCATTCATCATTTTTAGAAGAGTTCTCCAACCAGTTTAGCACTTTGCTTTGATCTGATAAAGGTTTGTTTTTCAAATCATTTTCAGTTATTTCACACTTAGGCTCTTCAAATGATTCAATTTCATCAATATTATCTGAATTATTGCTTGTGTTTAATAATTCACTGGTATCATTTTTATTCTTATTCATTTTTTTATTGTTGTTGGTAGGTTTTTTGAGCTTCTTAGTTTCAATATTTACTTTTCTAATTTTTCCTGTTCTTAGTAAAGGTAATTTTTGAGGTGTAGTTTTTGATCTTCTGTTACCTAAATTAACAAATTTTCATTATTTTTTTATGTCCATTGATATTCGTTTTAATTCAAATTGCAATCGTCTCGAGCCTGTATTGACTGAATCTGCTTCTGATGATTCAGACTCACTTATTTTATGCTTTCTTGACTTTTTCTTTTCATCTGAATTATTCTCGCTAGATTTCTTAAGATGTTGCTCACCACTAGAATTTGTTTCTTTTTTATTATTCTTGCTTGAACAGTTATTGTCTTTTTGCAAAGAATGTTTCTTACTATTAGATTCTTCACCTTCTTTGATCTGTGTTTTTTTGTTACTATTTGGAGATATGTCAATTTTTGAAACTTCTGTGTTAATTTCTGAATTAGTTGTCTTTTTTCTATCAATAGTTGCTTGTTTTTCAGAATTTTTCTTCAAATCATTATGAGGTTTGTTTTTCAGTTTCTTCTTTGCATTCTTCTTTTCTTCAGTATTTCCTGTGGTGATCAAGCTATTATTTTTTAAACTAGACTTATCAGTTGACGGAGATTTTTTTTAAAACCATTTTTTGCTTCAGAATTCTTCTCTGAATCAATATGATACTTCTTACTATCATGATTCGACTTGTTAGAATCCGAATCACTTGTATCAAAACATCTCTACTCTACTTCTTTTTTTGTTATTTTTACCATTGAAATTTGAATGTTTACCTAAACTACTTTTCTTTTCCTTATCCGAATCATTCAATTCAGATATTAAATCAGGTGATTTTTCAACATTTTTCTTGAGATCAATATCACACACATTCACAACAACTCCACCATTCATGTTTCCAATCTTGCAGTTTAATGAAATATGATCATCAGGCGTAGGTTTGTTAGTTATGTCGTCCAATTTACTTTTATTAATAAATATTTTACTACACTATTATTAGATATTACAGATTCATGACATTTATCAAAATGTTCTATTCCACTTTCTAGATCAGAAAATTCATTGTTGAAAAAACTACCAGTTTTACTAGTATTTTTATCAAGTTCACTTTTCTCAAACTCACTAGTAGATAATTCTAATATAGACACATTTTCAGGTTCAGGACAGCTTTGTGTGAAAATAGTATTATTAGTCGTAATGGAGGAGCAATCCTGTGATTGCTGTGATAGCTCATTATACAAAGAAGGAATATCAGCACTGCGCTCTTTCATTTTTTCCTTTTGCTTCTCAGTATATTGAGGTTTTCGGACTGGTGTTTTTGGAACAACTATAAAATCATCTTCAAGACATTTCTTTGATTTAGGAGTACCACAATTAGGAGAATGTCTTGAATTTATCAAACCAGGGCTTTTTCCAAAAATTGTTGGCGTGCGAATAGGAGTTGTAGAAGGTGTATCACCACTAAAAAAGATAAATAAAAAATGTAATACAAATTTAAAAACCACAAATTAAAATTTTAGTTGAATTTAATTCGTCATTGCATTCCTTTTTCAATTAAAATCATTAATCTACGTGATGACATCAGGTTTAGATGATGATAATTCAATTCAATTCATAAAATTAAATTGGCAAGACTTAATTTAGTTATGCAATAGACTTAAGCCTGCTGCATAACTAACTATACAAAAAGTAATAGTAATATTAAAATAAATTGTAAAATGAAAGTACTTATTAAGACTGCAGTTTTACTAACATTATTTTAATTTATTTTTTTTAACATACAAATGTTAAGGTACATATTGGCATCGATAAAAAATGTAAATTAAATCCCAGATAAAAAAAAATCTTTACATTTTACCTTTGAATTAATGCACTTATTTCTTTTATATTTTTATCATCAATTGCAAATTTCTTGAAAATTGGTATAAAAGACTTCAATACTTTATCAAAACTTTTATTTTCATTTAGTTTTATTTGATAGTTATTTATATAATATTTGCATAAATCATCAACTGTATTTGTGACCTAAAAAAAAGATAAAATTAGTAATGCCTTTCATATATAATAGTGTTCTAGTTGAAAAAGTACTTACAGATACATTGAATTTACTAAGCTCAGAAATTTCTCGAATTTCTAAAATATTGTCAAATACAGCAACAAACTCTTGTAAACATTTTACTATCGTAATGACATTCAAGCTTTTCAAAATCGAGCATAATCTTTCTATGGTGATTAGGGATTTTTCAAAATCTTCACTTCCAAATTGAAATTCTCCAAAAACAGAATTGCTTGATTTCTTCATGAAAATGATCATCTGACTGCACAATTTCAAAAATATGGAAATACTTTCAGCATCTAAAAAACAAATAGTGTAATCATCAAATAAAGTTTGAAACAAAATTTTTAAAATCCAAACATATATTATATGCCTCAGATTACTAAAGAAATATCACATATAGCAGAATATATTTTTTTGATAAAAGCTCATCTAAAACCACATTGAAATTATAAAAATGTCCAAATAATAAAAGTTACCAAAATCTAAAACTCTCAATTTTGGCTACTTAGGTATGTATTTGAATTTCCTGTTGCATTGATTTTACAACAAATTCATAAACCTCAAATGAATTTGTCAAGATTACAATGCAAGGGTTTTCATCGATGAGCTATAAAACACTTTATCAAAAATTCACTAATTGTCATATTCACTGTTATCATCATTGGCAAAACATACTAACTAAAAGCATTCACAGATAATTTAATTTATAGAAATGCTTATCACGCCACATTATTAAATAATAAATGATAAAAATTACAAGTTTTAGAAAGATGTATAAATGATTAATTCAATTTATCAATACAAAAAAGTTTCACATTGTTAGAACAATTTGTTGAGTACATGAACCAAGGTTCACAATTTAGAGATGATAAAAAATATTTAATTTTTGATTTAATTAAGCAAACATTTTAATGATAAATTAAAACATATTATGTAAACTAAAAACATCAAATTTTCATGCAGGGATAATGTGATAAACAATTCTACCATATGTATTTAATTAAATTACATTAAAATTGCATGACATACCATATTCTATCCTTTCCAACACTGTAGCAAAAATGTTTAAAATTACATTATTGCAAAGAACAAATAAATTCTTCCTGTGCCTTTTTTCACATGTGTCTAAAGGTGATTTTACATTTGTTGAATATAACTTTACGGCAATTTCAGCATTGATTTTTGCTGCGACAACTTTGTCTACCTTTTCTGAGCAGCATTTTGCATGCAACATATTTAAATTTTCTATTGTGTTATCTTTCTAAAATACAAAACAGTGTTAAGAATGTAAATATTACAAATACAAATTATTACAAATAATAACTGAATTTCAGAAATCATTACAAATTTTTAACTTAAAAATAGCTATTAAATGTTGCTTAATTTAAGCTTAAGTTAAGCTAATGCTTAATATTAAATGCTTAATAAAAAATAATTTAATTTTTACCAAAAACCACAAAGATAACTGCTGCTAACAAAATTAATAAATATTGTACTCTTTCATAAATAAAATACTACAATTCTTTTGTTAAATATGAAATATTATGATCCTCTAAATCAGTGGTCCGGAAACCAGAGTAAATTACACCCAATGCGGCAAATTTGGAATTTTTGGGGGTAAAAAGTATGTGTTTTTAATTGATATTTACTGTATTTGCTATGTAGTTGCCCATATGGCGGTAATCTCTATTGTCTGTATGAGGGTAAAATATTTTGGGATAATGATTAAAAAAGTTCCCTGACCACTGTTCTAAATATCTTTTGATCAATAGTCTATAATAACTTATCTTACATATATTACTGTAACAGCCTGTAATTAAATATGATCTTAAACATAGCCTATAGAAATAAATTTATTCCTCACCATTCTCAAATAGTTTTTATGTTCAAATGGAAACACAATAAACTGTGTTAAAATATGTGCTATATCCTCAATATTATTGGTAAAAAAATTACCAGCCCCAGAGATTTTGTCAACCACTGTCTCACAAAACAGATCATATGTAATATTCGGAACAGGGTTTTCAGCGGTCATATTTTTAATCAAATTTAAAATTTTACTGCAAGCAAACTTCATTGATGACACATCACTCAGAAAATTTAATAACAAATTCTTATAGACTGGAACTCTGAAATTACAATTGAAAATTGAAGTAATTATTAAATGGAATGACAAATAGTGACTCATGTTACATTTATTAATGTATAGATTTTTGTTCAAATAAAAAATTAGCAATCATGACCTAAAGTTTTTGGTCACAACTAAATATATTTTTTAGTTATTTGATTTTTTTATCGCATTGATTTTACAACAAGTTCATAAATCTCTAATGAAATTGTCAAGATTTCAATGCACATTAATGAAGCATTTGAATTTGAATACTTACAATGAATCATTTCCAAGACATGACACCATACATGGCAGGGTAATTAAATCTATGAATTTGAATTCATATTTATTTTCTTTGAAGTTCAATTTCTGAGAAAATTCTTCAGCAGTTTTTGTTAAAAGAGATTGAAGACAAACAGATGCCAACTGATTGTTGCCTTGGGACATCTAAGTTTAGATAAGATATATCAAATAAATAAATATAGTATAACGAGTTAACTTAATTTGGTGTAACTTATTAATTTACTTGCAAAAATATATATTTTGCTAGCATATATTAATAAATAATAAAAACAATAGAATTAACATTATTAAATCTAAGCATTTTTATCAAGTTTTTCCTTAGATTACTAAAACAATATCATTTTGAGTTTAGACAATATTTAACATGTATCTCTTGGTATTTATGTGTTCTATTCATTTCATTATAGTTTGTATAAAGAGATATAAATACCAAGTTTCGGTAAAGATTATTTGCAAGGCCAAATATTTAATGATAATGAACCAAAGTTTTAATGAAAGTGAGAGAGAATACATAATGATGGCAATGAAGATAATTATCTAGAAACTGAAAATGGTGAAATAATACCAAGGTTTTAAATATACATACATAAGACATCTATTTTTATGAACCATTATCAGAAAAATAGATTTAAAAATAAAGAATTTTTAAAATGACCTCGAGCAACCAAAAAATAAAGCCATTTCACATGCAAGTATTTACTCAAATTATCAGGGCCAAGTAATTAATCATGTTTATATTACAGAAGTATATAAACAAAAGTAAAAACTTTTTAAATGTATTTCAACAAAATGCACTTCTGTAAATGTGTAACTATTTAAAAATTTTATTATAAATTATAAAAATGCTAAAATTATAAATGATATTGCAGTTGAAATCATACCTTTTACTTCATTTTATTAAAAATTTAATATTTGATACAATAGTACTGTCGATTGGAGGCAAAAAGGTAATAGCACAAACTTTCAATGTTAGTAGAAAAATTTTGAAAACCCAAATTCTTTTTTTTTTAAATAATTAAGAATTAATAACCACTTACCACAACAAGCAAACTTAGAATCCGCAGCAACTCCTCTTGCACTTCTGAAATTTTTTCAGAGTTTAAAAAATGCATGTTTATTAGCTTCAACATTCTACTCCAAACACAACTTGCAATGTCAGACCATCTAAATTACAATTAATTATTAATTCAATAATTCAATTTTTGTCATAGTAATGCACCTAAGCACTATTAAACCTACTTGTACTCTAGTGGATTTAATTTCATTAAATTCTTGATCATATCACCAGAACATTGTAAAATTTCTTTCCAATATGTATTAAAAACTTTATAGGAAGCCAAATATCCATTTATTTTATGTGGTACCGAATTTGCAGTGGAATTGTGTGATAAACATTTTTCCCCTTCACAACTGTGGCCTACCATTTGTACAAAGACAAAAAAAATCTTTGGAACTAGCTGCAAAAGGTAATCAAATTGTAGAGAAATAATATGTATGCATATGGCAAAATTTACATGTTTATATTTCAATAATGAAAAAATATGTTAATGGTCTCTGAAAAACTATTCATTTCTTTTAGTTTATGTAGTTTTGTTTTACTTTTACTGAATATTAACTTCCCGAAGGAGAAGTTTATGTTTTCTTCAAAAAATCCGAATTGCTAATTTTATGTTTTCTCGACGTTTCAAGCCATTCTGAATCGAATGAGACCAACTTTGGAAAAAGTATGTGTGTGTGTGTGTGTGTGTGTGTGTGTGTATGTGTGTGTGTGCGTGTATGTGAACAGATTTTTTGCCGTAAATCGACGTTTTCTCAAAAACGGCTGGACCGATTTCAAAAATTTAAAAGCCACTCGATGTATCTCGATGAGGACTATTGTTTGTTAATTTTGTGCGACGATCGGCCAAGCCGTTTCTTTATAAATCGCAGAAAAGTGAAAAATTTTTCGTCTACGTTTTAGCCCGCAATTCTGAATCGATTTCGAAAATTCAAAAACTGTTCGAAAGATTTTTCGTTGGTTTGGGAGCCCGCAATTCTGAATGATTTCGAAAATTCAAAAACTGTTGATTAGTTTTTGGGGTAGAGATTAGTTTTGGGCCGGGCCGTTTTCTTGCAATAAAGTTTTCAAAAAAAAAATTTCGACGATTTTTATGATTATTTTTTTGACGGTAGATACCATAGTCTTCTAGATCATACTAAAATATTACGGCCCTACGACAACTGGTTCAGCTTTAAAAATTCGTCAAAGTTCGAAAAAATTGGTATCGTTTTTTTGGCATTTGTCAAAATTAGACTTTTGATCGACGTTTTCTCAAAAACGCCTGAACCGATTTTAGAAATTTAAAAGCCATTTGATGTATTTCGGTGAGGACTATCGTTTGTCAGTTTTGTGCGACGATCTGCCAAGCCGTTTCTTTGCAATTTGAAAAAAAGTGTTAAACTTTTCGTCCACATTTAATCTTATCCTACCGAACCCCGATTCTAAAAAATCAAAAACTGTTCGAAAGATATTAGTTGGGAATGGTACTGATTAATTTTAGGTGAAAATCTACCGAGCCGTTTTCTTGTAATTAACTGTTGAAAAAAGTGTTAAACTTTTCGTCCACATTTAAGCTCATCCTACCGAACCGATTTTAAAAAATCAAAAACTGTTCGAAAGATATTAGTTGGGAATGGTACTGATTAATTTTAGGTGAAAATCTACCGAGCCGTTTTCTTGTAATTAACTGTTGAAAAAAAGTGTTAAACTTTTCGTCCACATTTAAGCTCATCCTACCGAACTGATTTTAAAAAATCAAAAACCTTTCGAAAGATATTAGTTGGGAATGATACTGATTAGTTTTAGGTGAAAATCTACCGAGCCGTTTTCTTGTAATTAACTGTTGAAAAAAAAATTAAGCCGATTTTCATGAAACTTTTTTTGGCGATATACATCATGGTCTTATAGAACTTACTGTAATATTACGTCCTTACGACAAGTAGTTTAATTTTAAAAATTTGTCAAAGTTTGCTAAAATTATTATCGTTTTTTTAAAGTAGGTTTGATGAAGTATATTATTTACACATTTTTTTTTTTGATTAAGTCGATTATTTACACATATCGGGAAGTTCATGTAACTTGCCTCAAGGCTAAATACCAAATCAACTAGTTTAAATTATACTCAACAACAATTTTATATACTATTCTATTCTATATATATTATTCAAAAACATACTAGTTAAAACATTGCATTCATGGTTTTAAAGCAGTATATTATATACTAACCTCTTTCACTTTTAAAGTATCAGTTGTGTTAACACCAAAACTGAATTCTATAAAAGGTCTAACAAGCAAATCACAATTTTCATCAAATTGTTCTCTTGGTATGTTTGCAAACAGGTGAATCCATGTATCAAACATTCTATCAAAAGCAGTATTATATTTTAATTGTCTTTTGAATGGGCACGATAACAGTTTTATATATTTTGGATTCTGTATTCCCTGACCACTACCAGATGATTCACTGTATATAGTTATTAGGACCTAATTATAAAATAATACAATACATATAAAATAGTATGTGAAAGGACACATATATACAACATATTTCTTTTTAAAAAGTTACCTTCCAGCAATCCCATGTATTTGCAATTTGTGTTTGAGTTTTTAGTCCCACTTCAATTATTGAAAGTAATTTGTTCATAATATTTGAACTTTTATTAATTTCTGGTGAAAGCAGCATAACTACCAATATCCAAGATTTGTGCCATAAATCACTATCATTTATTAGTAGATTCTTAATTGTATTGCTATACCTAATAATAAAATATATTCAAATCTAACTGCTTATACATTAACATTAATAATATTACTTCTTGTAATTCTGCATCCAAAGAATTCAAATTATATTTTTTAGATTTTGATCGAATTTAGTTTAAATATTAACTTAAGTAAATTTTCAATCAAAATCTAATAAATTTATTGTTTTGCCATAGAAATACCTATTCGTTAAATGTTGTTTTATATTTATCCACTCCGAATGTGTTCGATAATTTGATTTAATAAAAGCAGGTACCAATTTTGACATCAAATTTAATGCACAAACCCTCAGATCATTAGGTTCCTCAAACATAATTGGAAATACATGTATTAATAGCTCATTTATTGTCAAATTAATCAAAGATATGATTCCTGTTAGACTAATCATATCATCCATATATAGTTTGCTGTATGTCTCTAAAATCTGTAAAAAGATTTATTGATTAATATTACATGTTAATTAATATAACTTATGAAACAGTGCAATATTTCTTTTAAATTATATTTTCTTTTGACTATAAGAGACTTTTTGCAAAACGCTGTTTTGTATTAAAAATACTCTCCTACAACATTAATAAATGATTCATTCAATACAGACATTTCCAAAATTTATATTTGAAAACAATAAATTAGAATATTTGTTTACTTATTTCTTTCCTTTTCTATCAAAGAAATAATTAAGATTATAGAATTTTCTTTATTCTACGCCTTACATTAACAATTTTGTAACATTTTCTAAGAGAACAGCCAGTTAGTTTTTGCCATGAGCGAGTCTCACTCATATTTACAACTTATATATTAATGTTTAAGAAATCCTATTTGATGAAGCTTTTAATTATATGAATGACTAACAAAAGTGTTATATGAGTTCATCTGTGAGTTTCCATTCAAATATAAAGTTAATAAGTAGCTTACTAAAATCTTTATTTCTTGATCGGCTACAATGCATTTCTTAAATATTTGAGCAAAGGCCTCAGGATTCATTTCAACCAAGTAAAAATATAAATCAGCACTCAAACAAAGGGAGATAATCCTCAAGTAGGTTGTAAGCTCAGTAGGACTTTCATTTTTAATTTCTTTACAAATGATATCCAAAATTTACGATGAGATCCAATGGGAATTTTTTCATCCTAAAATGAACAGTTTGCATGATTTAATTAAGGTATCAATTAAACTGCAAAAAACTTATAATTAATTAACCAAGCCCTAATTTGTAACGAGAATAATCTCCATATTATTTTTATTGAAAAGTTTATTTCAATAATAAAAAAAATTATATACAAGAACTAGGAATTATTATGAATCATTTTAACATCATATTATTCATGTATTTTCATAAAAATTTATAAAATTATATAATGTTTCCATATATTCGTGAAACAAACTTAGTTTTGCAAAATTTATTTAAATGTATCACTAAAGAGTTATATTATAAATAAATGATTATTCAGTATTTTTAAATGTATACAATAGAACAATATACAAAGTCATCAAAATTATGTAGGCTAATTAAATGTCTATGCAAAGATTTAGACAAAATTCAAGGTTCAAAATGTCAATTATGAATAATAGTTCAAATTACTATTTTATAAATGAAAATGTTCGAAATGATAGATAAATAGAATTCAACACTAATAAGTGTATAAACTTACCTGAGAAATAGAACAAGCCAATAAAGAATTCAAAGTATGGAACAAAAGTATGTTAGAGCTGTCAGAACTTAAATCCGCTTCCAGGTGTTCTAATAATTTCTTGTAATCCGAATATGGCAAGTGTAAATCATGTGCTTTAACATTATTTAACTCGAACTTTAAAACTGTATATTGTGTTGCTCTGTCAGTAGAATTTTGATCTAAAATTGCTATAGCATTCTGTGCATTGTATAAATGTAAAAATGATTCATCCATATTTAAGATAATCAAAGCACCATGAACTTGAAGGCACTTCTACGTTCGTATATAAAACACTTAGTAAAACATATTAAAAATCACTTTGTTAAAACTTAACTTTAGCAAACGTAAACATACATTGATAAGATATGGTAGTGAACCGCCAAAACAATTCTCGAGCAATCTGATTTTCAAAGCTGCCAACTGCTTGTCAAAAAAAAATTCGCAGACTTTTCAAATCGTTAGAGTAGCAAATGCTTTTATAAAGTACAAGAGTACAAGAACTTTGAGCAAGTATAATATAATGCTTAATTTAATATAATTTGTAATATTATTCAAAATAAGGACAAGAACGTTTTTTATCTTGTCAACATTTTGGGCTTCAGGTTCAGGGTTTACATTCCTATCTATGGTCTATGGTTTGGTTTCGCGCGTCGTGTTACCATACATTTCATAATCATATTCTATGTTTCAAACTTCAAACTGAACGAAATTAACGTACTTGACGGGTAGTTGTCAATATTGAAAATAAAATAATCGGTTAAAGTGCATAATATTAAAATGAAAACAACAAAGAATGGTCAAAAAACCCCAAAGCAAATAAAATTAAATACAAATGGATCAAATTCTACCAAAGACCCTGTTCAAGCTTATTGCAGACTACGGCCCATGAAAAATGAGTCTGAAGAGTCCTGTTTAAAACTAGTGTCCCAATCGTCTGTTCTATTATCACCACCAACAACTGCAGTGAATTATCGAGCAAACTTTAAAGAAGTTAAGTACAAATTCAGACGCGTTTTTGATGCTGACATAGGCCAAAATGAAATATTCAATGAAGTCGCTCGTCCGTTAGTGGAGAATTTAGTAAGAGGTCGCAATGGGCTTCTATTTACTTACGGAGTTACAGGCAGCGGTAAGACTTACACAATGGTTGGTGATAAACAGAACCCTGGCCTTATGCAGCGTAGTATTGATGTCCTCTTTAAGACTATTGCTAACAATCATGCTAAGAAATTTATATTCAAGCCAGATAAATTAAATGGTTTTGATGTTCAATCCGAAGCTGATGCTTGTGCTGAGAGGCATGCAGAATTGTCTAGCAAATACTCGAAAACTCCCAAACGGTGTAACTCTGATTTGGAAACACCTGTTATTACTGAAGATCTATCTGTAGTTGAAGGAGTAGACGATGATAATATTTACTCAGTATTTGTTACTTTTGCTGAGATATATAATAATAGCATATATGATTTGCTAGAGGAAAGTGCTAATAAAGATCAGCGTAGCCTGCAAAACAGAATGATACGTGAAGATGGTGCTAAGAATATGTATTTGCATGGGATTACTGAAATTGAATGCAAAAGTACTGAGGAGGCTGTTGAAATATTTAACAGGGGACTGAGGCGTAAAAGGATGGGTTGTACTAATATGAATTCAGAGAGCTCACGCAGTCACTCTGTTTTTACAATTCGATTGGTGCAGGCACCAACTGATCAATCTGGAGAAAATGTAATCCAAGAGAAAAGAGTAGTTTGCATTTCTCAATTATCTTTAGTAGACTTGGCAGGAAGTGAACGAGCTGTGCGCACAAAGAATTCCGGAACTCGATTGCGTGAAGCATGTTGCATAAATAATTCTTTAATGACTCTGAGATCCTGTCTGGACATACTGCGTGAAAATCAAATGACTGGAAGTAACAAAATAGTGCCATACAGGGACTCAAAATTAACCCATTTATTTAAAAACTTTTTTGATGGAGAAGGTCAAGTGAAAATGATCATTTGTGTGAATCCAAGAGCTGAAGATTATGATGAAACACTGCAAGTTATGAAGTTTGCTGAAATGACTCAGGAAGTGCAAGTATCTCGTGCTATGACATTTAAAGTGGATAATGGTTTAACACCTGGACGTAGGAAGGCTAACAGGGAAATCAAACAGGCTCTGATTAACATGAAAGAAGCAGTAGCAGCTGTAGATTTAGGATTGGTATATAATTTGGGTACCTTTCCTATTGTTGACTGGACTAATCCACCTTCAGATGGCGTAATTTCTTTAAAAGTTACTTAGAGAGAAGAATGGCAAAAAGAGCAGAGTTATTGATTGATGTAGCTAAGAAAGAAGAAAAGCTACGCAGCCATATATTGAACACAGAAAGAGAACGACTCGCTTTGAAAACTGAAGTACGTTCCCTCAAAACTATACTCCTGGAAGAGCGATTAAAAATAACTTCTCTTGAAGAGAAAATTATTTTATATGAGGAACAGATACATACATTAAAGTCACAGTTACTTGAGAAAGAATCCATGTGCAGGCATCATGTTCAAGAAATTAATGAGAAGGCTTTATTGTTGAATCAAAATATGATCGAAAAAGAAAAGCAAGAGAGAGTGTTTCAGCACAAAATTGCATTGGAGACTGAGAAAATGTCTAAGGATCATGAATTAAAATTGAAGAAACAGCGTGCTGCATTGAGAAATGAACTTATAACCAAAACACAAAAAATTCGAATGGCTTCTAAAATTTTGGATAACAACAAATTTTTAATAGGATCACAACAATCAGAAGATAGTGCAAGCAGTGTAGAATCGTATCGTACTCCGAGAAAAGCAGCTGTTCCTGTTTTGCAAGCTGCAACCCATAATGTCCAGCATTCAAAAAGAGGAGTTGCTGTGGCGAATTCAAGACACAGAAGATCTCGTTCTGCTGATTGCGAAGTATGGTTGGAACATCGGGGGCCGCATGCAGTGCCTTTGGGAACTGTTATGCAACCTATGATGCGCAAACGCAAGAGCGTAACTAAGCTAACAGATGTCAAAGATGTTGCTAACATGAAGACATCTAAGTACTGTCTATTTTCCCAAGAGCAGGATTCTGGTGGGGAGTTGGAAACGCGACTGTATAAGGGTGATGTAATACCCTCTTGCGGAGGAGGCGCTCAAGTTATATTTAATGATGTAGAACTATTAAAACAATGCTCACCAAAATCATCGCCAACACGCAAGCGGATTAACGAACAATCAATTCAAGATCTAGAAACTGTTGAATCTAGGTGTTCAGTGGCCATTGAAGGCAACAAGAAAGCTCGTATGCCGTAGTTTAGAGTAACTATAAAGTTTTTAAGTTCAAATTGGATAATTTTATATAATAATTTTGTTCAGTCTTAAACTATAAAGTTTTTAAGTTCAAATTGAATAATTTTATATAATAATTTTGTTCAGTTTTAAACTATAAAGTTTTTAAGTTCAAATTGAATAATTTTATATAATAACTTATGTAATAAAAAGAATATAGTAATAAATGTTTGATAAACTTAAGAGATTTGCCTTCAAAATATTAAATTTTTCAGGGAGGAGGGCTTCGTGCAGCGTTCTAAATAAAATAGTACATATTAATTTAATTCTTATTTATTTTTGGTCGTTTATACTTGTTTTTTTCTTTCTGGGTACTATAACACATGAAAAAAACAGTGTATTTTTTTAACTAAAAAAATACACTGTGTGTTTGCATGTGTGGAGACAATTTTTCGTCGACGATTTCGGGCGTATGGATGAACCGATTTGAAAAATTCGAAAAACAATCGATTCCTATTGATAGGGAGATGTGCAGTTTAGCTTTTGGCAAAGACAAGCCCAGCCTTTACGGAGATACGGAGCAAAGAGAGCATAAAATAGAAACCAAGTTTTTGAGAGAACGGAGTATCCGATTTGAATGATACAAAAAACATTCTGCTTGTGTTGGCAAAACTATTGTTTTTGAAAAAACAATTTATTTAAATTTTTTTTTCCAAAAAAATGTTTAATTCTGGCTTAAGTTCTGAAGCTCAGTTATATACTTCAAATAAATTATTTCAACTTTGTAATTCAATTTATATAATTTTCATACATATTAGCAATGTTACATAATCTATTTGAAAACATTTGATATTCCTCGTTCATTTCTTTACAGTATGGGAAGATTCAATTTGCCTTAAAGCACGATGCCATACGCATACAGCATTGGTTATTATACATTTCCAGTGAACTCATGATGACTTGAAAATGAGATAAAAATAAGACGTTATTATAGTTGACTAGCAAACCCGACGAACTCTGTTTCGCCACCAGATGGTTTCGTGAGAAAGATGAAGAAATTTTTTGTTTGTTTTATATTTGAAAAGGAAAAATTTGATTTTATTATATAACAGTAATGAATTTATTTCGATTACAAAAATGTAGTGTTTTTTAGTTGAACTTTTCTAAGTAAATGTAAGTGAATCCGCAAATTATCCGTTTCATTGAAGTGCTCTTTGGTAAATCACATTTTTTGTTTTTTGGTCTGACGTTAACACAAACAAAGCGGATGGTTTTCCAACTCATGAACAGGCAACGTATAACTGCCCATGTAAAAACAATGATTTTCTAAATAATCTGTTTGAAATTTATCCCGCAAACACTAAGCGATTGGCCTTGCGACTTGTTATTGCGAACGCAAGGCAAACTAGAAATTGCATTCGTTTCAAGTCAAACGGAAGACCAGTCGGAATCATTGGTATGTCACCAAATCGCTAGCAATTTTTGATTAAGTGGTGAAATTCAATGCGTGTAGTACATCATTATTCTTTGCGGAAAGAATTGCTCATTGACTTGACCAAGCATAATTCTGATAATTCTCACTAATGTCATTACTCGAATTTTTAATTAAGGTGCTTGAAGTTCCAGCAACTTGCATTAAGGCACGATGCCATGCACCACTAATTTTCTTAGCTATAAACCTTGCGGAGCCCGAGACCTTTCCAACGAGCAAAGTTGTCGAAATCGGTTCGTGCGTTCTGGAGTTATTTCGTCAGGAAGGAAAACCCGACTTATTTTTATATATATAGAATAAGATAATTGATAAAAAAAACTTTACTATGCAAAGAACGGCATTACTCAAGTGGCCCATGTCTGTCCACAATATACAGGCCCACTTCTATCTAGAAACGTCTTTTTTTGCATATGCATCCCACAAAAACACAATGTAAACAATCGGCAAAAATCATTCTGCATTTCAAATGATTATATGTCTAATATAGCATATTTACTTGAATTTTTCACGTGATAATTCGATAACAAATCAAGTAAGAGCGTACGCGGT